TGGCATGATATGAGGGACGGGTGTGACAGGATTAAGGGGGGGTGGCAGAGTGAGGGCAGATGAGTTTGGAGGGGTGATATTAACAGGGTTAGAAGTGGTTAATGTGAGTGTGGATGCATGAAGAGGCTGACAGTGTGGGGGGTTGATGACAGTGTAGGGAGGTGTGACAATGTGTGGGGAGGTGACAGTGTGAGGGGATGCTAACAGTGTGTCTGGCAAGGCTGTGTGTGAGGGGTGTGATACTGTGTGTGTGAGAGAGAAATAGTATAAGTGAGGGAGGGGGTGAAGATGGGGGGAGGAGGGTGATGATGAGAGGGAGGGTGATGGTGAGAGGGAGGGGTGATGGTGAGAGGGAGAGAGGGGTGATGGTGAGAGAGAGAAGGGTGATTATAGAGAGAGAGAAGGGGGTGATGGTGTGGGGGTGATGTTGAGAGAGGAGGGAGATGATGGTGTGGGGTGATGGTGAGAGAGAGAGAGGAAATGATGGTGTAGGTGATGGTGGGGGAGAGAGAGGGGTGATATGGGGATGGTAAGAGGGGAGTGATGGTGAGAGGGGGTAATCGTGGGGGGTGATGGTGAGAGAGGAGTGAGGGGTGATGGTGTTAGGGGGTGATGGTGAGGGGAGGGTGATGGTGAGGAGGAGGGATGAGAAGGTGTGAGGGAGGGGGAATGATGGTGTGAGGGAGGGGTGATGTGGGGGAGAGAGGGTGATGGATTGAGAGGGTGATGGAGTGAGGGGAGTGATGTGAGAGGGAGGGGAGTTGATGGGGTGATGTTGAGGAGGGTTGATGGGTGGGAGGGTGATGGTGAGGGAAGGGGTTGATGGTAAGTGGGGGTGATGTTGAGGGAAGGGGTGATATTAATGAAGGAGGGTTGATGGTGGGGAGTGATGATGAGGGAGAGTGGTTGATGGTGAAAAGGAGAGGGTGATGATGGTGTGAGGGAGGGTGGTTGATGGTGAGTGGGGTGATGGTAAGGAGGGGTGATGGTTATGGAGGGTGGGTGTTGGTGGGGGGTGGCGAGAGGGAGGGGGTGATGTGAGAGGGGGTGATGTGAGAGGGAGGGGGGTGATGAGAGAGGGGAGAGGGTGATGTGAGAGGAAGGGGGGTGATGTTGAGGGAGAGAGGGGGTGATGGGAAGGGAGGGAGGTTATGGGGAGGGAGTGGGGGTGATGGGGAGGGAGGGGGGTGATGGTGAGGGGAGGTGATGTTGAACAGGGGTGGGATGCTGAGGGAGGGGGGTTGATGGTGAGGGGTGGGTGATGTGAGAGGGGAAGGAGAGTGATGGTGTGAGCGACTGGGGTCTGATTGGGAAAGGGGAGATGCTACATACCTTTATTTATTTGTTTATTTTTTCCAGCATTATTATTGTCCTGTACTATTTCATCCCTTTCTCTTGCTGAGTTTGGATTTGTATATTTTTTCTGCTAAGCCTGTCAGATCTCTCATTAGGGATTTACTTCCCTGTTTCTACACTCCCCACTTTCTTTCCCCTGTTTGCCTTGTTTTTCTTCTATCTGGGCAGCCTGTACCCATTACTGCTTCATCCTACGGGGATTCTCAGGGTACCCTTTTCCCCTCCCACTCCAGTTCTGGGATATCACCCTCTGGGGGTGACAAACTTATACTCTGGGGTTCTCCTTTCTGGGAGCCTATCCTCCATTACACACATGCATGTTGGTGCTCAGTGTCTGCCCCGGCTACAGCACTCAAGAGTCTGTACAGTCCCTCAGGTTGCGCCTCTGTTTTGAGCCTGGGCCACCATAGAAGGGCCCCACCTTGCCCCTAGATTGGTAGGGCACCCTCCCCCCTCCCCCACCCACTCACTGGGATTTTCTTCCTTTGGGATACCCCTGTAAGGGCACTAGTCTAGGGGATCATGATGGTGTCTAAGATCGCAGCTTTGCCTTACCCAGGTTAGAGAAGCTTTTCTCTTCAACCCCTCCTCCAGAGACACAGGATTCTTCCTGCCCTGTCTTCTTCCTTCCTTTTTTTATAATTTTCTCTGTTTGTTTTCTTCGCTCCTTAGCTGCGTTGCCTATATATCTTTGTTATATACAGTTTGAAAAGAAGGATATAGGCGCTCACTAAAAAAACCAATAAGTGTGAAAGGCAGCAGTGAACCTGCAGGACTTCCCAATGCCTGCTATGTAGTGAAAGTGAAAAAGAAAATAGTGGTAAACCGCGCCGAAAGAAAAGTGATCAAATAATCATATTTATACATACATATCATTCTTGAATTTTACAGCATTTGAAAACCTCAAAAAGGAAAGAACAATAAGCAATAATAGTGCAGTATGTTAAAAATATTATAATGGTGTATAAATAAAGTAGACTGTGAGTGAAGAGCAAACTCACACTTTACAGAGCTGCTAAGAGCTCTGCCGTATAGCGCCTGGACGGTACAATCCCTGTCTTAGGATCTGAATATACCGGGAGGTCCAAATTCAGCGGTCATATATATGTGGAAAAAAAACAGAATATACAGACCAATGGTACAGTATCATAAGCTAGAAATAATATAGGAGAATGTAGGTATCCTACTTACAATATCCAGAGCAATGACTTGCTCTGGTGATGACAGCTTGTGGTGGTATAATCCCCACCAAAGGATATAGCAGGAAAACAGCAGCACCAGAAGATATGCAGAAGCCAAGGGATTGGAAAAAAAAAAAGCATTCAATTTATTAATAAAAAATATATATTAAAATATATATGGGTAAAAGTATATATAAAACATATACTGCAGCTTCAAATCCTATCCTTGACGCTTTTCGCCCGGGTATGGGCTTTTTCAAAAGAGTAGACATTAGACTGTGAGATTAGGACCTGCCAAAGATGGGGTACATTGACGTTGTGGCAGGCTTATGCAATGTATGGTCATATAATGTAACTAAATCTCCATTATTTTTTGCCTAGATTAGGTGTTTTAAAAAAAAAACTTTAGAAATAACTTTTAAAAAAACTAATAAAATCTGTCAACATTGAAGTTGCTGTTTAGTAGATAGGAGAGTGCGCTGGATCTTGTGTATTGTTTAATCTCTCTATTAGTAAGTGAACCCCTCTCATATCTCAACCCGATGCTGCTTGGATGTAACCTCTGAGGTATTACATGGGAGAACCTCCCACCAGGTTCTAGCTTTCCCTGGTACCCTATCGAACAGTGCACAGGTTGTTTGATCTGGCTGTCGCTGTTACAGCTCTGATGATTCACACTGTACTTCCCTACTGGATATACTCCTGGAGGTTTTTATTCTGAACTGGGGAGTCCCAGATATTTCAGATTGTCATGCGTATCTCTTCCGGGTTCGGCATTCCCGCTATGCGGAGCCGGCCCCATCCCCTTCTGACGCGGCTCTCTGACACTACTTAGAGAGGCCGCACCAGAGAGAAAGCGCTTGGTGATTGTGGGACCTACTTCCGGGTGTAGACGCCGTCTCCACAAGCTTCTCGCACAAGCCTTCCTAAACCTTTGAAGATAAAAGGATTATGCTTCATCCGCTAGAGGATTCCTGGAGAACGGACATTTTACCATTTAGCAAGTGGACTCTAATACTGATCTCTTGGAGGACAACTCACATTAATCTTAAGTATAACTTCCAATTTATTATCTGGAATCTCAGTTATTAATGAACTGTTTCTTGCTTGCTCAAATCCTCTCTGCTGCATACACACTAATTATATTGAGGATAACTCCCATCAAGCTTAACCACTATGAACTGTTTCTTGCTTTGCAAATATTCTCTGCTACCATTTCTATTGAAGATTATTCCTATCAACCTAAAGAATATTATTCAATACATCTCTGAGGAAATACTTATTGATGAACTTTGTATTGTTTGCTATAACCAGCAAATTCTTCTTATTGAATTATTACCTATATGCTTTTCACTTAAGTTTATCACAATCATTAAAACTTTGTTTGATTCTCTAATTGCCAGCAATCCTCTCTTTTCTTAAAGCTACAGTATTGATAATTTAAAGATTCTCAGTTTCTTCACTATTGTAATTAAGGAGTTCTACAAGTTGCAGTTGAGTTCCAATTCTAAAAACCCTAGTAGCATAACACAGATATATATGCCATTTTATAACATACATTGCATTGAGCAGGCAATCTCACTAGGCTATTATTATTTATGCTGTTATGGACATCCTTCTCAGACAGCCTCTCCTATTGGACGAAGCAAGAGATGCTGATGCCTTCAAGAGCTGACATACACTTTCTCGCAAACACTACTGGAACAGGGTCGACTCATATCCCCGAGTCTGGATGTACTGGTACATGCTAGGCGCGTGCACAGACTGGAGCCCCGGGCCAATACTGCATTCCCTACCCATTAGCTCTTTTGGGAAAAGTGACAGGATGACCTCTGAAGACGATGTTGGAGAACAAGACTCGGTTGTGGAGGGTCCTCCCTCCGCACATGATTAACTCACGGAAGCCGTCCTGGATTTATTTTCCTACCTGCCACCCATTGCAGGTACCGGCAATGCTATCGGTTTGGGTTCGACAGGGTTACCCCGATTCTATCCGCACCCCATTTGTCACCTCAGGTCATCAACAACTGACCCCTGCTCATTCTACCCTCTATGGAACTCGTAGTTAACAAAACCGGGAAGCGCATGAAAGATGGTAAACGGTGTGCCCCAGAGTTCGACATCAGGGCCAACACTGACTTTGCTGGGTCGGGGCACAACCATTGCTACAGTATTGATCAATGCCTGTGTCTGCTCAGGTTAGGCCATCCGAAGTTCTCAAACCTTGGCACAACTTCTGCCTTGGATGGATGACATCCTGTCACAAAACTGCACCCTGGATACATCTGTCATTAGTGAAGGGGTCTTACGTTCTATATGCACATTGAACGAAGTTAGCTGTTTTTTTCTTCTTTGTATTGATGCCAGGATTTCGTACCTCGAGTTCATAGAACTAGGTCCCTGGGCTGAGGGCATATTCTGGTGGGTAACCAGCTTCAGAATTTAACGATCGCATGGACCTAGATGATCCGCTCAACTATACCCTATCTTCAGGTTGATGAGCGTCCCATCGGGCCCTACTCGGGTTTCCTTGATGGGGCTGAACTTCAGCTGGGTGGTACGTACTATCCAGCCATTCGGTCTACTCCACTCTCGCCCTATATGGACAGCAGTCCCAAGGGTAGACTCCGAAATCCGGACCCTGTTGCTCATTTTCTTCTACACCATCCTTCTAGTTCAAATGTTGTACACACTGCCATAAACCCCGGATTATATATACTACTGTTTCATTTGCCAACGCTGCTGCACCCCCTGCGGAATGACTGGCCACTTCTGGTCCACCTGTATACACTTCGATTCAAATTCGACCCTTGGTGTTCCACCAAGCGGCTAAAACCAGTAATGGCTCATCTTCAGGTGTAAATACCCCCATTACTTCATGAATCCGGATTGCTATCACTCGTCTATGATGATGCCTTCGGACGCAAATCTTAACCTCTATTTACGCCCCCTTGTTCGCATCTCAAGGCTTCACAGTCTACCTAGGAACTCGATCCTCACCTCGCCCTTCGAGTGGGGTTCTTTGATTGAGGCACCCTTAAGTGTTCTTTGTCTACCACAGTCCTAAGTTCCTCAATCCGCTTTGAATACTGGAGACATCTAGAGCACGACCGGGTGCCCCTCCGCACACTTGCCCGCGTGGTAGATTTTTACTCGGATGAAGACCATTCACCGCTTAGATCAAAGGGAATGGATGGATTCCATTCAGTCCTGTCCCAAGCTTTATCATGGGCTCAGATGCGCATCTTGAGGTTGGAGAATTGCGGGCACAACCCTTGGATGATGAGAGAAGCCACCTATTACATCAAGATTCGAATATGGATGGCAGTTTATTACGCAAGCCCAAGCCGCCGGTGCCCTTCAAACTATAACGTCTGGCTGTGTATGGATTATGTGTCAATATTACTCTACATGGACCGTTTTGATGGAACTGGGCCATGGTATCTCAAGCACAGCGACTCTAACGACGGATTGAGTTTTGTCCACACTTTGAGGATCATCAACGACTGGCATCTTCTTCGACCAATCTACAGCCATATCTTGCAGTTGTAAGGTCTTTTCGGGATTCATTTATTGATCTCCCGGATTATTTACCAGCGACATAAACATCGTTCTAGTTGTTGTCTGAGCATTAAAATAGCAAATACGAAGCCTCTTGTCATGTTATAACATTGTAGATTATGCTAGCTTTAGTGTAACTATAATCTTAATTATATTACTGACAGGAGGAAAGTATTTAGAAAATTGGGCAGAGTAGATAGGCTGAATGGTTCTTATCTGCCGTCACATTCTATGTTTTTATGTGATGATGAAAATAAACGACAGGCAAAACAGAAAACACAGTCCTTGTGTCTAGAATAAACTAACCAATGACTATCTTGTGTCTCCTTGTTGCTTAGAATCCTTGTGTAATGAAAGGTAGAAAAATGCAGTTTTGCACTGTCTAATGGGAAAGTTAAAATGTCTATTCTTATAAGTCCTTTCTGAATAAAATAGACTCTATCTTTATCTTCCACTGGGAAAGTCCATTCTGCAGGATCATAGGTAAGAGGCTGATAACTAGACTCTGAATGGAAAGAAACCAATTCCTGTGGTTCTTCTGTAGCTTCTTCTTCAGTGCTAAACAAAATGTTACGTTGTTCAAACTGATTTGAAGTGCTTGGCTGTGAATCATCCTCTCTTTCAGTCAAAACTGATTCTGCTATCTTGGGTTCATCCTCCGGTACCTCTTCGCTTGCAGTTATCTTCCCTGTCTTCAAATATTTTTGCATAGAGCCTCTTAGTTCTTCTTTGCATTCCTCAAAAGCAGTATTCTTTTTTCTTTTCTGGTGACCGGTTTCAAATGTCTGCCCCCTATCACGTTCACTGCCCCCTTTATGCATATTTATTGTAACAGGATAGAAAACTAACGTAAATTATGGTAATCTTTCTTACTAACTACACACAGTATAGTAATACACACAATATGAGTAAACTATGCTATTTTTTCTGTTTTAACTTTTGGAGCATCAAAATCAACAATGCTGAAGTATCAATGCAGGAACCGATGTTCTGACTACTGGACTCTCCAGAACCATCAGATTGTTTCCATGCTAAGTCACTGCACTGCTGTAGCTATGAATATTGTCTGACCCTGGTATAAGCAAATAAATAAAAACAGATAACTAAGTGTGCCAGGAAACTGAGTTTTTCTGTAAGTATATGGCTCAGCATGTAGAGACCCTGACTAGCTTGCTACAGATCACACATCAAATAACCACCCTGACCACTCACATGCCCTGCCTTGTATCAGGTTTACCACTATTTATGAGATATTATAAATAATGAACAAAACAAATTATTGCACTACTCTGTTCTCCAAACTTCTAACAGGTTATTCATGATCAAACTAACTAACATGAATTGATGTCATCCTACTTTAGAGTAAAGGATTTTATCAATTCAGCTGCAACGAACAATACCTTAGTCATTATTAAATCTTTTTTAATGCTGAATCGAAGGAACACTGTTCACCATAAAAAACTTAATCAAAATTAAATTTTTATGGTTCAAGGATGGTGCCAGAACAGTTTAACCTCAAAAGAATGCCACCAGTACCGGATCTCTATTTCCCCAAGTGACATCCGGCTGCTGAATCGAGTTTCAAGAGTGCCATCGATTGGCTAGAGAGGTCAGTTCCCTTGCACAACAGACTGGTTTAGAGCATCTGCTGACCACTGTAGCCAACCAGCGGCACCCGCATTTCCTGAAACTCAATTTCAGCAGCCGGATGCTGTTGTGGGATCTGGAGATCCAGTGCTGGAGGCAACCACTGAGGTTAATTCGTTCGAGAACAGCTTAACACTTTCATGTAAGAAAGCACCCAGGGGCTTCCTGGTTCCATAACAACTTCATTTTCATTAAGTTGCTATGGTGACCGGAGTGTTCCTTTAACAAAATATATATTTGAAGTACTGTATTCATGTAAAAGTAAAACTCCTCACTGTCCACTTATATAACAAATCAAATAATTTCACATCTGAGAATATACAGAAGAAAAATCTCAAAATACTGAAACCACACAACTTAAGCAACTTTGAAAAACACTCTCTACAAAGCTTCATAACACACGTTTCAGTTCTTGTTCGGGACTTTCCTCAGGACAGCAGCTGCTGACCTGAGGAAAGTCCTGAATGGGGACTGAAACGTTGAAGCTGTTTAGCATCATATTTGTTTTTTTAATGGAAATATTAAAATCTAAGTTTTACGAAGACCGTGAGTGCAGACCATCACTTCACCTTTTCTGTACACCAATGACCTTGGTCTGGCACCAGGTGTTTATGACAATACTATAATCAGCCAGTGTGCATGGAAACTCTGGATACTTATGTATATTTATATATATATATATATATATATAGCAAAGCAAATAGAAGACCTCTTGCACTCCAACTTTGAATATATTGAATACCTGGTGCCAAGTCCCAAACGATATAAAATATGAAAAAATACCGGCACTCTAGGATTAGTTCATCTGCTTTAATTCTCAGTTGATCCAAAAGATGTCAACGTTTCAGCTCCCGATCGGAGCTTTCATCAGGACACAATAAAAGATATACATAAAATGACAAACATATATAAGACATGCTAACTAATGGTCACTCACCTAATCAGCTGTAGTCTATCAACCCTGATGTCTGGCATATACTCAACGCTAGTCCGCTCGTCTGACTTCCATGACGCCCTTCCCGTGTCAGGGAACAGCCTTCGCTAATCATCTGTAACGGCTACATCACAGTTCTAAGGCAGTCAATCCTCGGCCGACCCTGTGGTTACCGAAGCCGCAAGGAGACAAACTCCTATTTCGGCGATTGACCTCCTCTTTCCGTGACGCGGGTTTGTTTTGCGTTGTCCTGGCAACAAATTCAGACCGGACCTATGGGTATGTTGAAATGAATCCATACTGTGAATGACTCCTTTCATAGTTAACCCTGTATGTTATCTCTAATAAATTAAGGATAAAGCCTTCAAAAGTCTAAGGGATGAAAAGAAAATACAAAGGTAGTGGATTTTATATTAAAGTGCTAGATAGTAAATCTGTGATACTCCAAGTTTTGGCCATTACTAATGCTCACACATTACATGTAGATAAAGTGAAAATATAACAATCTCTAAAAAAATCTATAATGCTAAATGTCAAGTGGTATGTATTTAAGTGAATAGCATGTAGAAAGACTATATTAGTCTACAAAAATATATGTGAAACTGAATCATAAAGAAGGACACTATAAATACAAAGTTAAAGAAAAATCATAAGGGCAATACAGAGTTCCTACTTTTAAATGCTGTAGGTGAAGTGAACCAGAGGTTATATAAAATAATAGAACACATTAAAACTTTTTTACTGTCATTAGACTAGGAATTCAAATTATTTATATGCATAATTATAGGACTTATTGGAAAGAAATAAATGAACATTTCTCATTCAAGCCTCAAGGAGAGGCTCAAAGTATTAAGTTCCAGTATCCAAAAAGTCTCTCTCTGTAGGAGGAGTTTCCCCCTGTTGCCCCCTTTCGCTGCCACCGGAACATGGCCTACAGCCACACACCTCAAAGAAGAGAGTTGATGTTGTTTCTCCAGGAAATGTCTGGCCACAGGTTTATCCAACTTGCCATCACGATAGGCCAGGCGGATACTTGACCTGTGGCCCCTAATTCTCTCGCACAGTGCTGTTTCTGTCTTGCCTATATAACTCAATCCACAAGGGCATGTGAGTTGATATATGACAAACTCTGTGCGGCAATGTATCCTATGGGCAATCTTGTAAACCTTGCCCGTGTGGGGGTGGGAGAAGGTCTTGGAGGGAATTATGTGACCACAGGTTACACACCCTAAACATCTGACGCAGCCAATATTTTTCTTTTCTGTTATTGATGGTCTATAACAATGGACAGGGTGCGTTTTTACCAGAAAGTCCCTTAAGTTTTTGTTCCTTTTATAACAAAATATCGGATTTGATGTTAGTTCTTTAGGAAGTGTCGGATCCTGCTTTAATATATTCCAATTTCGAGTAACTGACCCCCAGTTATTTGCTTGGTTGCGGAATTTAATCTCATTGGGAATACCATTCTTGTTTCCAATGTTTTATGAGATATTGTCTCCTTATTGTTATATTGCCCTTTGGCTCTGATCAAAGCATTTTCCAATACCGGTCGTTTATATCCCCTCTTCATAAACTTTGAATACATGGTCTTCAATTCTTCCTCGTGCTGATCTTAATGGGAATTGTTACGGTATACCCTTAAAAACTGTGATAAGGGGAGCGAGTTCTTCAGATGTTGTGGATGAAAACTTTCGAAGTGTAAAATCGTATTCCGATTGGAAGGTTTGGTGTAGAGACTATACTCAAGTTTCTGGTTTCTAACTGTCAATTCAACATCAAGAAATTGGATACTCTTGGTTGTCGATTTTAGAGGTTACTTTGATTGGGATGGGATTGATGTGTTTAATGAGTGCCTCAGCCTCTTCTTTTGTTCCTCTCCACAATATCAGGATGTCATCTATGAAACGATAATATTTAATGATCTGATCCTGATATGGTGTCAAAATATGTTGCTGTTCAAACTCAAACATAAAAGTGTTGGCGTACATGGGGGCCATAGCCGCCACCATGGACGTACCTGAGACTTGCATAAAGCACTTGGTTTCGAAATGGAAATAATTATTCCGTAAAGCTAATGATAATAACTCCATAGTATACTCAATTGGTGGTCGACGATAATGTACAGAGGTAGAGAGTAGTTTCCTCATCGCTTCGATACCCTCTTCATGTGGTATAACAGTATATAAACTGTTTCAGTCCATAGGGATAAGTAGCCCATATATATATTACTCTTTTCTTAACCCCAATTAATACTTTGGTTTAACCTTCTGATTGGGACACCAATGATAGGCTAAAAACACAATCTGAGAGCTCAGCCTAGCAGTAGTTCAACATTCACAAAAACAGAGTGAGAAAAATATGTATGGCATGTTTCTCACTTTGTTTTGTGATTGGCTGAGGGATTCAAGTC